GTCAAATTTTCAGACCAACAAGACAAATAATCTTACACATTCTGAAAACAAGATGATTATTCTTACACAATCAGTTCTTGTTTAATAAATCATTCTCAAAACAAGATCAGAAAGACTTTTTGGCTGATATAAGAGTTTAAAACTTGGTTAGGTGGACAGTTTTTGCAGTGTGATTTTGCTCTTTGCACAGTTCTGCACAGAAACTAAAGAGGACTGGGTTTATTCATAACAAAAACTAGCAAAAGCTGTAATATGGGTAACAAGATTGGTATTCTTGTTAACTAGTTTAACATTCAGTATATTGACATGAGCTAATATTATCTGCATTACTCAACTTCCACGGTTGGTTTGTAAAAACGATGCAAAGTTTTTAGTCTTTTGTTGGTTCAGGTTGGTTCAGATTGTGACAGACACCAMGCAGAAGTGGAGCAGCTCGTCTCTCCTCGGTGACCAAACTGAACRAGGTTAGCTCAGGGTGCGTTTAAAGACGGTACAGAAGAACACGTCACCACATCTTAATAATAGATTTACAGAAGCCCAGAGGACGTAATGGTTTTCTTTAAACAGTATTTATAGGAGGTCCTCAGACTGCCTCAGAGGAGCAGGGCTGAGCACTCTGATGGTTTTATACACTGCAAAAACTGTCCACCTAACCAAGTTTAAACTCTTATATCAGCCAAAAAGTCTTTTTGATCTTGTTTTGAGACTGATTTACTAAACAAGAACTGATTGTGTCAGAATAATCATCTTGTTTTCAGAATGTGTAAGATTATTTGTCTTGTTAGTCTGAAAATTTGACTCAAATTAAGTCAATAATTTCTGCCAGTGGAGTAAGAAAATTTTACTTGGTAAGATTCTTGAAATACTTTATTTGACTAATTTTTTTCTTATTTCAACAGTCTTACCAAGTAAAATTTTCTTACTTCATTGGCAGAAATGTTTGACTTAATTTGAGTCAAATTTTCAAACAAGACAAATAATCTTACACATTCTGAAAACAAGATGATTATTCTGACACAATCAGTTCTTGTTTAGTAAATTAGTCTCAAAACAAGATCAAAAAGACTTTTTGGCTGATATAAGAGTTTAAAATTTGGTTAGGTGGACAGTTTTTGCAGTGTAAATTCTGTGTTTCTGTTTGTTCCAATAAACAACCTCAGACAACCGTTCTACCATGAGCATTCATCATCACATATATCTGTTCATTGTTAAATAAATATTTCCTCAGCAAACTCTCCTCCACGTCACCTGTCCTCCACCTGTCTAACCCTGATCTGTTATGAGAACATGATTAAAACATTTTTACAACACACTGCTCATTATGCATTGGGAAGAGTGTGGGTTTTTATCAGGTTTGTTTTAAAACTAAACACCTAACTGACTGGCTTTTAGATGAACTCARGTCAGTGTTTTTGCATTGACAGGTTCTGCTTTTTCTTCTGATGTATAAATATGTGAACTTGTTCTGGCTCTAATAGATAACTAAAAGAGAAGTTAAGATGTTGGCGGGTGAGCTGCAGGAAGTAGCAGCAGAGGACTTGTTTGAAACATTGGTCGCACCAACAGTTTTATTTGCTCTGCTTCTGCTTCCCCTTCTTGTGTTCTTTAAAGCAACATCTGCTGCTTCTCCTGCTGCATAAAAACACGTGTTTGACTGAAAATGTGGATTTTTCTCCTGCAGGACTAAAGTAMTGAGGAAAACTTCAGATAGTCCAGAAGCTGAAGCAGATATGGAAAAAATGAAACAGGTTTGATTTTCCGTTCTAAACTGAGTAAAGCTTTGTGAGCTCACTTCCTGTGGTTCACTAAAACATTATGTTGCATGTTRCTGTTGAAGTTTATTCAAATCTTAAAGCTGTCCTCACACTTCTGCTTTGTGTTTGAAGGACATTATTGAAGAAATGAAAAAAGAACTTCAGAAAATAAAGGAGGAAATTATTGCAGGTAATGTTTTCAGTCTTTACCCTTTTTTGTTCATTTGCAATTTATTCATTTATTGTCCAGAACGTTATCACAAACCACTTATATGAAATTAACTCGAGTTGTTTGTATATTTTAGCACTGATCCAGGAGCTGCAGAAAACAACACTGCAGGCTGAAGAAAGCTAAAAGACCAACAAATCAAACAGYAAAATGGATGTTTTTTTTGTTTCATAAACATGATGTCATTTTATGGAATCTGTATATGTGAAGTTTTATTTTTATTTCTGCATCAAATGCGTTTTAGAATACTTCTGATGACAAGTCAGCATTTGTCATTAAAAGGTTAAAACATGATGGATTAAAGATATTCTCTTCATTAAAAGAAAACATGAATAAAAAAAACGTGGTCTTTGTTTTTTTAAAATCTCAAATGGGGATGCACCGATATGAAAATTTCAGCCGATATCGATATCTGACATAAATATTGCTGTTATGGCCGATAACTGATATTTACTGATATTACACAAACACACAAATTATATTATACAGCCGGTAAAATAAGTATTGAACACGTCACCATTTTTCTCAGTAAATATATTACTAGAGGTGCTAATGACATGAAATTTTCACCAGATGTCAGTAACAACCCAAGTGATCCATACATACAAAGAAATCAAACCATAAATGTCCAGAAATGAAGTTATTTGTAATAATGTGGAATGGCACAGGGAAAAAGTATTGAACGGGAGGTGTAAAAAGGCATGGAAAGCCAAGACACCAGCTGAACTCTCTCAGTAATTAGAAAGAAGCCTGCCCCTTGTC